TTACATGGGCCGTGTAAAACACAAGAGAAACACTTGTGTTCAGACAGAATGAGACAAAGAGAGAGGAAGACTAAGAGAAAAACACCCCTTGTTATGTGGCATTTGGGGAGCCAAGCTTCTACTCGGGTTGAACAGGAGAGCCGAGCTCTTCCAGGCGTGTGGTTTTGATAGAGGCTATGACAGATTTTCATATGTTAAAAAGAAAAGTCCAGGAGAGTTGTGCTGAGAGTTTGAAAATCCTCATAAATGATCAAAAGTTATAGATGTCTAGCTTAACAACAACTGAACCTGTTTAATGGGAAAAAGTCTAAGAATAAGGTATGTTCAAGTTATTTTTTATTATCGTTTATTAATGCTCTTTTCAGTCTAACCTAGTTTTAGGGTTCATCCAGCAACTGAAAAGAACTAGGTCACTTCTACAATGGCAAATTTCATCAAATAAAGTACTCACTTTAGAAAACTTACCCCAAAATGTTCTTGCCTGCCTCTGTCTGAACAATCTAAAACCTAGCAAACAAAATCCTGAAAATCCAAATCTGGATATGGGGAAATCAAGTGGCTTCAGTGACTTTGTTTTTTGCAGTTAAAAACCTTACTTTGCCAATAAATATTTTCAGAATGGAAAATTTGGTTTCAATTACCATGGTTGAAATGCACATCTGCTTCAGGCAGCAGTGATGCCCAAAAACGTCTACGAAAGTTTCTATCCATGACTACTCGGGATGGGAAAGGACTCAAGGACATGCCATGGGAAGAGAGAAAAGGTGAGAGTGCTCAGTGCTGGCTCTTCCCTGGGTCTTGCCAGCATTTTACCTGGCAATGCAAAACTCAGCATTTGGAGAATATCAGCTAAGTCATGTCTTCTCAAGAAATATGATCTTCCTCTTCATCGATCAAGGGTGGAAAAAAAGCTCTTCTGGCTCTGAAGCTCCCTGAAGTCCAGAACAAGTTCTCCTTAGTAAGGACGAACTATTCTCCTGGGAACTGCTCCCACCAAATCATGTCATAGTGCTGGGCGCACGGTGCCCCTCTCAAGCAGGTGCATCCCATTGCTTCTGATGAAGAAAACCTCAATTTTAAGAAAAATGGACAACTAACTCCCCCTTTTTATGATGCTTCTTCCCAAAGTTGTTGTTCTCTGCAAGTCTTGCAGATATGTGCCCGGAAAAAATATTTGTTAAGATTTCATTTTTAAGTAATCTCTACACCCAATGGAGGCCCAAACTCATAACCCCAAGATCAAGAGTCGCATGCTCTACCAACTGAGCCAGCCAGGCACCCCTGGAAAAAAATTTTTTTAATTGTGGCAATATACATAACATGACATTTTCCATTTTAACCACTTTTAAATGTATAGTTCAGTGGCATTAAGTACATTCATGCTGTTGTGCAACTATCACCACCATCCATCTCTGGAGTATAAATAAGGCTGCTTAGCCCACAAGGCTGATTTCAAGAACAGAAATAAAATCCTAATGGCAACAGCACTTGCCATTTTCACTATCTGCTCTACAAACACAGAGGCCCATATACACACACAATTTATCACTGGAGTAGCTGAGAGCCAAAGACCCTTCTTCACAGAACAGAAGGCAGGGTCATCTTCCTCTGACTGATGAAGAAACACTGATTCTTCACAAAGGGAGATGGCAATCCTAGCATCAGCAGGTTCTTTGAGAGCTGGACGGCTTGGGGGATATAGCAGAGGTGAGAGCAAATTCATAGGTTCTTCTTGAGATTTTGGCTGAACAAAAGTATATCTGGTTCATGATTCCAAACCACTAAGGCATCCAGATGCCTCAGGATGTCTATAAAAAGGAGGATTAAGGTAGGTGCCGGGGGGGGGGGGGGGGGGCCTAGCAGAGGAAATGCCAAGCCCCATGTGGTATCTCACTATGAGGAGATGGATGGTTCAGGTAGAAGCAAGAGAATGGGCCTGATAAGCTCTCCCCAATTTTCTCATGGGAAAAGTCCCATGTAGTCTGCTTCAGATGATAAATATAGAAAGTCCTTAAAATAAGCTTCAGTTAGAATCCCAGCACGAGTCATGGGGTACAAGAGGGCAAGAGATGAACACCAGAGATAACAAGTACCATTTACCTGGTAGTCTGTGCCACAAAAATTTTACTAGATGCTTTCTACATATTACCTCATTTGATCATGACAACAACTCCGTGAGAGATACTGTTATTACTCCCTTTATACCAAAAAGAAAAATTATTTGTGAAAACAATGTGACACACTCAAGGTCACACGGTTTATAAAGCAGATTCATGACAAGGTCTATGTTATTCTAAATCCCATGCTTTCGATTAAGAGCCTTTGAAGGGAGAAGTTATTTTCATACCCTCGTGGCAAAGAAAGAAAATTGTTCGTTAAAAATCTCTTGGCTGAAAAATGTTAATGCTTAAAAACAGCCCCAATTAAGCTGCAGCAGGTTAAGTGTGGAACAAGCACAGATTCAGGATTCCTCCAGTCGCTGGAGGTTTGACATGTGATCCTAGGCCAGTCCCTCAGCTTCTGGGGTGGGGAGGGGGGCAGTCTGGGTTTCCCAGGGAACTTGTAAAACAAGGCCGCTTCCCCTGTTCTCCGCCTACAAAGCATTCCACGGGGTCAATGACCCGTGCTGAGATAATAAGGCCGATAGCCAGAGATGAACCTATTGGCCAAAGGTTTCAATCTCATCTCTCACCAACTTTCTTCTTAGTTATCAGACTTTCCCCTCAAAAGTTATCAGCTAATTGCCAAATAATTATGCGGCACCTACTATGCATGCAGCCACACAGCAATGAGTAAGGAGTATTCGGAGGTACGGGCACGGTCCTTAACCTTGAGGACCTGTCTCTGAGTCTGGGGACTTGTAAGATACAAAACAAAAGCAGAAAAACATCGGGGGCAGGGAGGAGGGCTATGATTCAGCATCCAACTATGGCTACAAACTGGAGAGACTAGAATTCAGAAGAACATCACCTCAAACTAGAAAAGCTGAGGTTATCAGCACAAAGTAGGGTGTTAAATAACAGCCTTGTTAGATGGATAACTTTTGGAAAAGAAGAAGGGAAAGGCATTCCAGGTAAAAGGAATTCCAGGAACAAAGGATCTGGGACCAGATAGAGTAGTATACAGGATATGTGGTCACAAAAGAGACCAGAACATCACTGGGTGGGGGTATGGGTGAGCAGAGGGAATGCAGACGGGGCCAGATTTCAGAAGACGTGAATGCCTGACATGGCAAGCTGGGAACAAAAGGTAGCGAGATGGGTGACGGGGTAAACACTGGAAGCTGCTCAGTTTGGATTGCTTGCCTACTCTCTGCCTCCAGTAAGGGAAAAACAAAATCCAGGGGTCATAAAGGCCAGGACATCAGCCATCCCAGCAGAGAGGCACCAGAGTGTCGAAAAACAAGAGATCTCCTAGAGGGCAAAGGCTCATTACATTTCTGAAAAGAGAACAGGAACACAGTAGATGCCCCAAAATGCTCAGGAAGCAGTACTCTGATCCGCTGCTGCTCGACTCACAAGGACCTTTCAGGCCCAACATGCCACCGGTGTGGCAGAATCAGCCTGATCCAGAATCTCTAAAGCGCCATTCACATCACCCCTGCCCTTCTGCTAGCTTATCAGAACAACAGGAGGTGAAGACACTACGCATCTCTGTGCCCAGCCTAGGAGACAGGGCTCCAGATGCTCTGCTGCCCAGAAGGTCAAATTGAGTCCAACATCTAAGCTCCTGTTGCAGACAGCACTGAGGGAAAAGCTACATCTGCAGCACATTCAGACTAAAAGTCCCAGACTCTTCCTGTGGGAGTCACAGCAAGAAACGCAGTCTTTGGGGCCTCTTCAGACAGGAAGACACCCAACCACCGCGCCAATTCTAACAGGGTCTAGAGATGTTTAATGGCATCACCCTGCCCCGTGAGATGCAGACGTCGGGACAGTATGTGCAAAGGAAAGTATGCTGAGTTAGGTGAACAGACATCATTTCACCAGCCAGTTATCATCTGCATCAAAACTGGCCACTCAGAGCAGCGCCCCCCTCCTCCAGTGGTGCACTGCCTCACCTGACCCCTCCCTGCCTAATGCCTCCTGCCGTTGCCCCACCTCAAGGAAAATGGCAAGCCTTGTTCTCCACCAGCCACAGACGCACAGAACGTAGAGGCTGACACAACAGGAGGAGACGTTTTAGCACAGAGGAATGACCCGCCCCCACACTGCATCAAGCACCTCCAAAATAAAAGAATCAGGTCCCTCAGATAATAGTTTAAAATGTACATGCACGTGCCTGCCAGAAAATAAACTCTTGCTAGTTAGATCCAGCTCAGCAGAAGTACTTAAATTCCCTTCTCTGGATTTCCTATTTCATAAGGAATCCCTGACAGAAGGAGCAAGAGTTCCTCTAAAGCATATACATTCCAGGATCATTCATAAACTTTTCAATGAAAATGAAAGTCAGTTCAGAGCAAGTGTCATCTGAATGGGTTTCTCTCCTTCTTATTTGAACTTGTGCGTGTGTACAGGCACACACACACACATCCTTTTAGGATAGACATGAGCACAGCACGCTTAAGATTTAAGCACCCCAGTGTGAAAATGTAAGCAGTCCATGCCAGGCCAGCCCTGCTGTGACATCAGGAACCCCCCACCAAAGAAAAACCACCCCCAGAAAGTACCCAAGAAAGGGAAACGCCTCCTTGAAACAGCCTGAGAAAGGCAATCCTGATCCAGCCCATGCAAAACTATTCCCAAACACCAGCCAGGAAGTCCCTTCTTTCAGGGGGCTCCAATGCCCAGCAAACCCAGACTTGCCTTGGCAGAAGCCAGATCTCTGGAAAAGGGGGCTTCCCTGCTCTGACTCTGCCACCCACTGGGATACATCAGTGGCCAGGTCTTCCGACCCTGCCTCGCCAATGCAGATACAAAAGCTGGAAGCTGCACCACAAGCACACGTTCACACACACACACACACACACACACACCAACACACATTTAATATATACATACCTTTCACCCTCCATTGTGCGAGGCCCAGCCAGGGTGGCAGCCGCTGAACTGTGCATGCACCCGGAGATCTAGCTCTGTTCTCCGATCTCCTGGCCAACCAACAGGAGATCCTGATCAGCAACAGTGATTCAGCATGGCTGCAAACGAAGCCTCCTCCCTCTCGATCCTCCTTCCTCTGACTTACTCCCAGCAGCTTCTACCGCAGAAGCAGCAGCAGCAGAAAATGTCTTACCCAGAGCTCCCTGCAGCCCTTTCAGCAGCTAAAAGCAGCAACCCACTTGCTCCCCCTCCCCCGCAGGCTTGCTGCTCCTCGGTCTCCTAGGAACAGCGCAGCTCCAGCGACCCAAGTGCGGTGCCACCTTTCGAGCTGCCTCCACATCTGCCCAGGCATCCCCAGCTCAGGCGACTAGCCCACCCCGGGGCCTCCCGCCTCCTGCGCCCATTCTGCAAAGGTTCAGGCAGTTCCTCACCAGCCCAAGAAATACTGGCCCCCGCCCCCTCCCCAGCCCCCATAGGCTACAAGTCCGTCAGCCCGGCCAGATCGCTGGAATGAGGAGGCCCCTCTGTGGCTTGTAGTGGAGTTTATCCACCTGGGGAAATTGGCTTGTAGGTCACAGCTCACGTTCCAATTCCGCCTCACAAAATCTACGGTAGCTCTGAGAGTCTGACAGATGGAGAGAAGTTAGGGGAAAAAGAGCCGGATAGAACTGAGAATGCGGAGAGAAATTTTATAAAGAGAACAGGAGACAGAGGTGAAACTGAAACAAACGCTCTTTTGCCTCAAGGGGCCAAAGACTATTGCAGCAAAGGCATGACAATGAATACTGCACACATTGATTTCCCTACACCATACTGAAAGTCCACAAATTTCATAGCACAACCCTAAAATATCTTCCTAAAGCACTGAAATTTAACTTCAGCTGTGGCTCCAACTAGCAAGTCTCCCACCAAACCCCCATCTCCAGCCAAAGATCTCTCATACCCTGTAATCTCCAGCTGCTGAGCCTCAATTTAGACTTACTTAACTCTAAAGCATCATCTTGGGAAGGCACAAGGCTAGTCTGTGTCTCCTAGCCACAGCCAAGAGGCTCAGAGGAAACAGAAGCAATCAGCCACTGGTGATTGGTTAGCCACAGAAATGGGTTCAGAAGCTTCTTTAATGCCTCAAAAATCATACATTAGTATCTCTATTCTCAAACCATCCATGTCATACCTGGGCTTTTCAGGATCTATACTACCTACCACTGGCAAGCTGAGTGACCTTCAGCAAGTCTTCTCCCTACTCTGAACCTCAGCCCTTCATCCATAACACAGGATCAGTCCAGAGTCCTTTCAGCTCTAAAAATCGCATGATTCTGAAAATGTCTGAAATGCTCCATTTTTCTTGTTCATCTGTAAGAATGCTTAAGAAGAAGTTTTTACTGGCCTCTAATATTTTGTAGGGGGCTTCAGGGAGGATGAAAGTGGGAGAGATGATCATTAAATCGATGACTATTATCATTGGGACCTGTTAAATTTCTTCACTGCTACAAAGCCTTGAAACAGTGGAACAGGGTGTGGGGGGACACTGAGGTAACAGAAACTAGTAGGAGTCACTGAAACTTTATACAGCCTCCCTGAACTCAAACTGGCAGGGTGTTATTCTCAAAGATTACCTCCCACGGACCCTCAGGGTCCTCTGAGATGGGAGCACTACCCCAACTCTCTCAAATGAGAAGACGCCTGGGTTATTTTATTTACATCCTCCAGCCAGCCCCGGATCACCACTTCTTCTCCACAACAATACCCCTCGTATCTTTCTCCCTCTGTCCCTTCCTCCTCTAATCAGCCTTATTGCTCTGCTCCAGATATTTCCTCTTGAGGTGATTCACAGGGACCAGGAGGAGCCGAACACCACAAATAAGGAAACTGAATCCCAGAATCCGTGCCAGAGTGCAGGCATCCACCAGGAAGACAACTGGTTGATTCATAAAAGGGACATGAGACTAAGATAAGTCTCTCTTTTATGACTTTATACCCTCACTCACCACTTCACCATACAGGAAAGGGGGGAAAATGTCACATCTAACAAACCAGAGAGAAAAGGAAAAGGTCAGAAAAGGAACTACTTAAGGCTGAGGATATACAGATTTTATTTGACAGCCAGTATAAAAATTTTATAGCATTGCCTTCACAACCTACTTTAGCTGTGCTAACCTAACCAGTGTCACTACAGTGTCTGTGCTGAAACCATACTACCACCTACACACTTTATTAACCACTCGCTCTATCCATGGAGGTACCGGGAACAGAGAACACTCAGGGAAGTTCATCGAGCAAAACCAGGGACAGAGCTGAGTCGAGAATCGAGAATCGAAGTCTCGGGACTCCTCATACAAAGTTCCGCCCTAATCGTCTCTCATTTCAGAGCTACATTTTCCATTTTCTACTTTATTATCCAAATGTTCTCTGGGCCACAGCCCGAACTCATTTGCTTTAGGCTAATTTTCCTGACTGAACTTCAGATGAAGAAGAGATACTAACTGGATTCTTGTGGCAGAGGAAAATCAACGGAACCAGAGAGGTGTCTGCCTGGAGGAAGAGGTCCCATCCTTGGACTGACCAGCAGTAGTGTCTGACCCCCACTTCCCAGCCCTCCTTCCCACACCCAAGGCTTCTTCCACAGTTTACCAATAGTACCTTGTGGCCCCAACTCTCCATCCCAAAGCAATCAATCCAGCCATCCACACCAAGTCTGTGCAGAATTCTTCAGCTTTATGTGGCTCAGGAAGAAACTGTTAGTAAAAGAAACTGGTTTTTGTTTTTGTTTGTTTTTAACTGGGTTTGGTCTACAAAGTTCTTTTCTCCACACTCCATCTCTCCCCAAGGAGCCTGTACAGCATAGCTTATCTAGAGACAGTAAACCCAACTAGTTTTTTTGTTTAAATTCAATTAATTAACATAATTTATTATTGGTTCCAGAGGCAGAGGTCAGTGATTCATCAGTTGCCTATAACACCCAGTGCTCATTCCATCACGTGCCCTCCTTAATGTCCATAAGTCAGTTACCCCATCCCTACCCACCTCCCCTCCAGCAACCCTTGGTTTGTTTCCTGTGATTAAGAGTCTCCTAGGGTTTGTCTCCCTCGCTGATTTCATCCTGCTTTATTTTTTCCTCTCTTCCCCTATGATCCTCTGCCTTCTTTCTTAAATTCCACATACGAGTGAGATCATATGATAATTGTCTTTCTCTTATTTCGCTTACCATAATACCCTCTAGTTCCATCCACGTCGCTGCTAATGGCAAGATTCCATTCTTTTTGATAAGCCATCCATTCAAGTATCTTTTTTCTTTTGTCACTTTTACCCTCCTTCTACAGGCATTCAGTTTCTCACATTTGCATGCACCATAACCCAGTACAGCGGTCCCACACCTCCCCGCGCGTTAGAACCATCTGCCTAGATGGTTAAAACTGTACACATCATGGGGTCAAAAGGGACAGTGAAACTTCTCAGGGTTACAGAAATGTTCCACATCTTGAGCACAGTGATACTTAGGTGACTGTATACAACTACTGTTTCATCAAACCAGACACTTAAAATGGGTGAGTTTTATCTTATGTCAATTATACCTCAATAAATCAGGGGAAACAGACTACAGAAAACAAAAAAACCTCAAACTTCCAGGAAGTTCAATGAACTTCACAGGTGACTCTCATGCACTTAGAACAACGAAAAGAGCTCAAACCATCAGAAAGAAAGAAAGTCTGCCAAGGCACCTTGTGCCAGAAACATGGACCCAGGCCTCCCCTGGAGCCATGTCCACATCTCCAATGACCCCTACTACCAACAGGCCACCAAGAGCTAAGCAAAACCGGAGCTAAATTAAGGCCCAACCACACCTGTATCACCAGAACATCCCCCTGAGATTCTGTACCACTTGAGGAGTACATTCCCCCTTGAGCTGCTCTCACTGCCCCAGGAAGCCAGGCAGACACTGAAAAGGAACTTGAAGAATAAAAAGGTCAAAAGGTAAACAGAACAGCACCTTATCCCAAGGAATACCTGGCTTCCCTCAGAACTCCTCTGAAGGTAGAAGAACCCATGTCCTGAAGAGTTCCAAGAATATAATCACACATGGCACTTGCGTCTCACTTTAAAGCTTACAATGTGCTTCATGTCCCTCAACACCTCTGACTTAAGATTACATGCCCTGAAAAGTAATAGCAGCTTCCAACCCTGGACAATTTACTCTGAACCAGACTCTGTAGTCAAGGCTTTATAGGTACCCTTCTCGTTTAATTATCACAGCAAACCTATGAGAATGAACCATTATCCCTGTTTTAAATGTGAGGTGTACAGAAACACAACAGATTTTTGTAGATGGATTTCATACCTTGCAACTTTACTGAATGTATTCAGTTTTTTGATGGAGACTTTAGAGTTTTCTATATATAATACCATCTCATCTGCAAATAGGGACAGTTTTACTTCTTCCTTTCCAATTTCAATACCTTTTATTTCTTTTTCTTGTGTGAGTGCTGTGGCTAGGACTTCTAGAACTATGTTGAATAAAAGTGGTGACAGTGGACATCCTTGTCTTGTTCCTGATCTTAAAGGAAAAGTTTTCAGCTTTTCACCATGGAGTATGATGTTAGTTGTAGGCTTGGCATTTATGGCCTTTATCATGTTTAGGTACATTTCTTCTCTATATATAATTTGTGGAGTTTTTATCATAAATGGACGTTGAATTTTGGCAAATGTTTTTTCTGCATGTATTGAAATGATCGTATGATTTTTATCCTTCATTTTGATGATGTGGGGTATCACACTGACTGATTTGCAGATGTTGAACTATGCTTGTAACCGTGGAATAAATCCCACTTGATCACAATGTATGATCCTTTTAATGTATTGTTGACTTCGGTTTCCTAATATTTTGTTCAGTATTTTTGCATCTATGTTCATCAGGGATACTGGCCTCTAATTTTCTTGTGGCATCCTTGTCTGGTTTTAGTATCAGGGTAATTCTGCCCTCATAAAATAAGTTTGGAAGAGTTCCTC